AATGATTTTATGGATTGTGGTCTTTCCCAAATGGTATGCCCACGCCTCCGACTGTTGCGAGGTTTCTTGCGATAAATAACTGAACAATTTTGTTAGATACATATTTACAATTTCAACAATTCACTTTACTGGAGTTTTATAGCCAATTTCTCTTCTGGAGATATCGGTCCATATATTTTTTTAACAATGAAGGTGCTAACAATTTCACTAAATGTTAAAAAAATATTTTGTTCATTCTTGTCTTTCTGCTTCTCAGAATGGGTCCAACATTAAACCTCCTCCTTTTTCGTTTCTTTCTCTTGAGTAAAAGATACACACTTACCATCGACACGATCACGGCAATTTTTGTATTTATATCCATCAAAAGAAAAATCAAATTTCACAATGTGACGTTTAAGTCTATCTAGTGACATTACCTTTACACCATTCGGATATATCCGTCAAAGTTCGTAGTATGGCGCTTTCTGATTGGTCGGAGGTAAGAACGCAACGCAGAAAGTTGAAAATAGTCGGCTTGTTACCTTGCGTTACTTTGCCTCACCGACGTTACCTTACCTTACTTTTTATTTAGAACGCAAGTGTGTTTTCTCAATGCTTCAACTTTCTTACCTTACCTTATCTCGTTACCTTGCGTTTTTATAAACTAGGGGTCACTTCGTCTCGGTCTGGTAAAAAATTATCCATGACGAGTATTTCTACTGAACAAAAAATTAACGCTCCGAAATCTGATATGAATTGTCTCTCTACCAATAAAACAAATGGCACTAGAAATGTAAATGGCAATAACCGGAATCCCACATCAGCTGTTAATAGACCAGTGAACAATGATGTAATATTACTCACTGGATCAAGCAGAAGAACGAACCATAACATACAGGGCGTCCCCAGTGACAATGATTTGGAATGGTTGTACGTTGGAAAAATCAAAGGTATTATTGATATTGATGTAATGCGGTCATTTCTCAGTGAATCGTTCCCTAATCAAGATATCAAGTGCTTCAGGTTGAATGCCAATGGAAAAACAGTCTCTTTCAAACTTGGTATCTCGAAGTCCCTGAAACAGCTAAACCTGAAGAGTGAATTATGGCCTGAAAATGTGTTAATTAAGGAATTTGTGTTTTTTTCGTGACGACTCTGAAAGCGTTATTGCTCGTGAAGTGTCTCATGAATTTTCCAAATTCTACTCCTTATTCCTCAATCTATTTGACAAAGCATTTCCGCCTGTTTTACGAAAAATCAGCAACACCCACCTTCCTAAAGGCAAACCCTGGGTCACCAAGGAAATCATCAATGAAGGTATATTTCTTCGTGATGTTTTCAATCTGAACAGAACTCAATGTGATGAAATCGTTAACGAGCAATATGAAATTATGTTGAAAAATCACCACTCAAAAATAGAATATTTCAGTAACAAATTTCTTGAAGCAATATGAGCAATTGTTTTCCGAATCATTTTGAAATTGATGATGGAACTCGGGTTCATGGTGGTCCTGTTATTTCTCAAGTCTTTATCAATTATTTCATTGACTCTGTAAATCCTCTAATCAATGATTCTGAGCCTGCTGGTGAACATCATCACAATATAAAAAACTCTTTTTTTCCTCATCCTCTAGACCAGGGGTCTCCAAACTTTGCCATTGACTATATTTCTAGACTAGGATAGTCGCAGAGTGCGTGACCTAAGCAAACTTACGCTTTTTTTGCATTTCAATTATTATTGTGTATTTTGACACTTTACGACATCTAGTGGCGGGTAGTGGTACTATGTACTATCTTTTTCAGCTACCCGCTAGGTGGCATTAGGCGTAATTAAATATTTGGAATCACCGCGTTGGTTCGAGAAAGTTCTGGTTCTAGCTAGTGTAGGTATTCCGATCACCTCGAGATGGCAGTAATAATTGCATATAAACATATAATTACATATAAATAGGAAAGGCGAAGGAAGCGAAACTGTCTATTGTGAAATAAAGTAACACCTGTCAATAAAAGAATTTTGATTTGACTTATTGTTTTCATGTGTGATTTGTTAGTATGGAAAAGAAGCGAAAAATCGACAGTAAATGCAGAACGTTCAGAAAAATGGAACTTTCAGTATTTTGTGATTGAGTCCAGTAATAAGGCGCTATGTTTAATTTGTAATGAAACCATAGCTGTTCTCAAAGACTATAACATTAAACGACACTATGAATCGAAACATTTTCAAAGTTACTCCAAGTATACAGGAAGTTTGCGGAAGGAAAAATTTGAAGCTTTGAAACGCGGACTCGAATCGCAGCAATCTTTGTTTACCGAAGCGAATACTGAACAAGAGTCTGCAACTCGCGCCAGCTTTCGTGTGGCTCTTGAAATCGGAAAACGTGGCAAATCATTCACCGATGGAGAAATGATAAAAGAATGCTTGATTGCAGTAGCCGAAGAAATATGCCCCGAAAAGGTAAATTTATTTAAAAGTGTCAGTTTGTCAGCAAACACCGTGGCTCGGAGGGTGCAAGACATCGCAGAAAATATATCATCTCAACTGTCTGACAAAAATGGACATCATGAGTGGTTTTCTCTAGCATTGGATGAGTCAACGGATGTGTCAGATACTGCTCAGGTGTTGATTTTTATTCGCGGAGTAGATAAAAGCTATGAAGTGTATGAAGAACTCATTGATATTAACGGCACGACAACTGGGGCAGATATTTTCAAGGGAGTTGAAAATGCCATTAATAAAAATAACCTTCGATGGAGAAATTTGAAATCTATAACAACTGATGGAGGCAAAAATATGTATGGTAAAAATGAAGGAGTGGTTGCACTTGGGTTGAAGGCTGTAGAAAATGATGATGGTTCAAAACCATTAGTCTTACATTGTATCATTCATCAACAGTCCTTGTGCGGAAAATGTTTGGATGTGTCTGAAGTTCTAAAACCAGTCATATCAGTTGTTAACTTCATCAGATCCACTGGGCTGAATCACCGACAATTCCGTGAGTTTATTCAACAGATTGGAGAAAATGATTTACCATATCATACTGCCGTACGCTGGATTAGTTGCGGAAAAGTCCTTAAGCGCTTTTTTGAACTTCGAGCAGAGATCGAAATTTTTTTAAATGAGAAACAGCGCCTTTTCGCCGATTCAGAAAATAGTGAATGGATGTGGAAGTTAGCCTTCTATGTCGATTTGACAAATCATATGAACGAACTGAATTTGAGATTGCAAGGAGAAAATCAGCTT